AGTTCGATACACACTTCCTCGCCTTTCATTTTGAATGATGCCTTACATTTTGAATGATGTATATAACATGTCCTATATACACACTTCCTCGCCTTTCCTTCTGAATGATGTATATAACAAGTCCGATATACACACTTCCTCGCCTTTCATTTTGAATGACGCCTTCAATTTTGAATGATGTATATAACATGTCCTGTATACACACTTCCTCGCCTTTCCTTCTGAATGATGTATATCACAAATCTGATATACACACTTCCTCGCCTTTCATTTTGAATGACGCCTTTCATTCTGAATAATGTATATAACATGTCCGATATACACACTTCCTCGTCTTTCCTTCTGAATAATGTATATAACATGTCCGATATACACACTTCCTCGCTTTCCTTCTGAATGATGTATATAACAAGTCTGATATACACACTTCCTCGCCTTTCATTTTGAATGACGCCTTTCATTCTGAATAATGTATATAACATGTCCGATATACACACTTCCTCGCCTTTCATTCTGACTGATGTATATAACATGTCCGATAAACACACCTCCTCGCCTTCAATTTTGAATGATGTATATAATATGTCCTATATACACACTTCCTCGCCTTTCCTTCTGAATGATGTATATCACAAGTCTGATATACACACTTCCTCGCCTTTCATTTTGAATGACGCCTTTCATTTTGAATGATGTATATAACATGTCCTATATACCCACTTCCTCGCCTTTCATTCTGACTGATGTATATAATATGTCCGATAAACACACTTCCTCGCCTTTCAATCTGAATAATGTATATAACATGTCCCATATACACACTTCCTTGCCTTTCATTTTGAATGATGCCTTACATTTTGAATGATGTATATAACATGTCCTATATACACACTTCCTCGCCTTTCCTTCTGAATGATGTATATAACAAGTCCGATATACACACTTCCTCGCCTTTCATTTTGAATGACGCCTTCAATTTTGAATGATGTATATAACATGTCCTATATACACACTTCCTCGGCTATCCTTCTGAATGATGTATATCACAAGTCTGATATACACACTTCCTCGCCTTTCATTTTGAATGACTCCTTTCATTCTGAATAATGTATATAACATGTCCTATATACACACTTCCTCGCCTTTCCTTCTGAATAATGTATATAACATGTCCGATATACACACTTTCCGCCTTTCCTTCTGAATGATGAATATCACAAGTCCGATATACACACTTTCTCGCCTTTCATTTTGAATGACGCCTTTCATTCTGAATAATGTATATAACATGTCCTATATACACACTTCCTCGCCTTTTTTTCTGAATAATGTATATAACATGTCCGATATACACACTTCCTCGCTTTCCTTCTGAATGATGTATATAACAAGTCCGATACACACTTCCTCGCCTTTCATTTTGAATGATGCCTTTCATTTTGAATGATGTATATAACATGTCCTATATACACACTTCCTCGCCTTTCTTTCTGAATAATGTATATAACATGTCCGATATACACACTTCCTCGCTTTCCTTCTGAATGATGTATATAACAAGTCCGATACACACTTCCTCGCCTTTCATTTTGAATGATGCCTTACATTTTGAATGATGTATATAACATGTCCTATATACACACTTCCTCGCCTTTCCTTCTGAATGATGTATATAACAAGTCCGATATACTCACTTCCTCGCCTTTCATTTTGAATGACGCCTTTAGTTTTGAATGATGTATATAACATGTCCTATATACACACTTCCTCGCCTTTCATTTTGAATGACGCCTTTCATTCTGAATAATGTATATAACATGTCCTATATACACACTTCCTCGCCTTTCCTTCTGAATAATGTATATAACATGTCCTATATACACACTTCCTTGCTTTCCTTCTGAATGATGTATATAACAAGTCTGATATACACACTTCCTCGCCTTTGATTTTGAATGATGCCTTTCATTTTGAATGATGTATATAACATGTCCTATATACACACTTCCTTGCCTTTCCTTCTGAATGATGTATATAACAAGTCCGATATACACACCACCTCGCCTTTCATTTTGAATGACGCCTTCAATTTTGAATGATGTATATAACATGTCCTATATACCCACTTCCTCGCCTTTCATTCTGACTGATGTATATACCATGTCCTATATACACACATCCTCGCCTTTCCTTCTGAATGATGTATATACCATGTCCTATATACCCACTTCCTCGCCTTTCATTCTGACTGATGTATATAACATGTCGTATATACACACTTCCTCGCCTTTCATTTTGAATGACGCCTTTCATTCTGAATAATGTATATAACATGTCCTATATACACACTTCCTCGCCTTTCCTTCTGAATAATGTATATAACATGTCCAATATACACACTTCCTCGCCTTTCATTCGGACTGATGTATAAAACATGTCCTATATACACACTTCCTCGCCTTTTCTTCTGAATGATGAATATCAGAAGTCCGATATACACACTTCCTCGCCTTTCATTTTCAATGACGCCTTTCATTCTGAATGATGTATATAACATGTCCTATATACACACTTCCTCGCCTTTCCTTCTGAATAATGTATATAACATGTCCTATATACACACTTCCTCGCCTTTCATTCTGACTGATGTATATAACATGTCCTATATACACACTTCCTCGCCTTTCCTTCTGAATGATGAATATCACAAGTCCGATATACACACTTTCTCGCCTTTCATTTTGAATGACGCCTTTCATTCTGAATAATGTATATAACATGTCCTATATACACACTTCCTCGCCTTTCCTTCTGAATGATGTATATAACAAGTCCGATACACACTTCCTCGCCTTTCATTTTGAATGATGCCTTACGTTTTGAATGATGTATATAACATGTCCTATATACACACTTCCTCGCCTTTCCTTCTGAATAATGTATATAACAAGTCCGATATACACACTTCCTCGCCTTTCATTTTGAATGACGCCTTCAATTTTGAATGATGTATATAACATGTCCTATATACACACTCCCTCGCCTTTCCTTCTGAATGATGTATATCACATGTCTGATATACACACTTCCTCGCCTTTCATTTTGAATGACGCCTTTCATTCTGAATAATGTATATAACATGTCCTATATACACACTTCCTCGCCTTTCCTTCTGAATAATGTATATAACATGTCCGATATACACACTTCCTCGCCTTTCATTCTGAATGATGTATATAACAAGTCTGATATACTCACTTCCTCGCCTTCATTTTGAATGATGTATATAACATGTCCGATCAACACACTTCCTCGCCTTTCCTTCTGAATGATGTATATACCATGTCCTATATACCCACTTCCTCGCCTTTCATTCTGACTGATGTATATAACATGTCCGATAAACACACTTCCTCGCTTTCTTTCTGAATGATGTATATAACATGTCCTATATACACACTTCCTCGCCTTTCATTTTGAATGACGCCTTTCATTCTGAATAATGTATATAACATGTCCTATATACACACTTCCTCGCCTTTCCTTCTGAATAATGTATATAACATGTCCAATATACACACTTCCTCGCTTTCCTTCTGAATGATGTATATAACAAGTCCGATATACACACTTCCTCGACTTCATTTTGAATGATGCCTTACGTTTTGAATGATGTATATAACATGTCCTATATACACACTTCCTCGCCTTTCATTCTGAATGATGTATATAATATGTCCGATAAACACACTTCCTCGCCTTTCATTCTGAATGATGTATATAACATGTCCTATATACACACAGCGCATTTCTTTCTCAATGATATACATGTATATAACATATTCGAAGAACACCATTCCCATAGATCGGGGTCGAAGTGCTTCATAATGACATTGTTAAATAACAACGAACAACATAGAACGGAATATTGTTTACAGTTACAAGCAAAACAAAAACTAAATGAATTGAATATTGTGAGTCAAACCTTATTCATTCCACGGCCACAATCAGAAATATTTCAGAAACCTCTCAAATTACTGCTTTTACTATTGTAGTATGCACGATTCTATTACACTATTGTGACCACAATGTGATGTAGATACAAATCCTCGATTTCAGAATTTCCCTTGAAAAACATTGTATTACAATTATTACAATTCGTATACATCTAATTATAACATAATTTAATAAAAAATATCGTTCAGCCACAGTGGCATTTGTGCTTGAATGTAAATTGCCGCACATCAAGGCGTGTGAATATTTGACATGCAAAAAATAACAAAACACTCATCATAATGTTTCCTATTTATAGTGAAGAATTTAATGTGGGTTATGATGAATAACCCACATTAATTCTTATATATATACATATATACTGAATATGATCATATTCAGTATAGTTTTCCCCAAATATGGGGGCACTGGTGGCCCAGTCGTCTAAGGCGCCGCGATTCGCTGTGCAGAGTTGCGTCCCTTGGGCACGCCAGAAACCTATGATTGTGGGTTCGAATCCCTGTTCGCCACGATTATGTTTCTAGGTTTGTCAGCACCATACCCGTGCTCGTGGGTTTCACCGAAGTGGTAAACGTCTGAGACCTGCATTACTTCTGGCTTTCCTCCCACATTAAGCTGACACGCCGTGATATAACTGGAATACTGTTGAAAGCGGCGTTAACCCCAACTCACTCACACTCCCCCAATTATATAAAATCATATTCCGCATATATATCGCCATACGTTTTAGTTTACCGAAAGCATTACCGCAGTAAATGGTGTTTTACGAAATTGTGGACTGTTTATCCCCGTTCTGGTCGCTGCACATGTCGCTTTTTAAGTACAATAATCTTGAACGCGACGTTTAATTACATGTTACCTTATCTCATATAGTTACGGTGACCTTTACTTACATAAGTGTACAAGTTTGTTTACAAATGATAAGGGTGAGTGAGACATTTATTTAGAAACATGTGTGACCTATTTGTGTAATATTTCTTTGCCAGAATGTTTCGGCTTGGTTTGCTGTTAATGTCATTGACATGGGCACTTTCTGCTGAGAGCGAGGTGAGGTATAAAACAATGTGGCGTCTGCTCCCAACATATGTCTCTCACTAGTATGTGTGGGTGTTTGAATGTGTGTAGCGAACACTATGCGGCAAGGGTGTCCCAGTCGCGTCTTATGCGCCGCAGTTCGCTGTCAAACATATTTTATTGATCGTCAGTAGAATCGTTAAAAACTTTGAAAGCTGTACATAAATATATTCTGTGCACTTAAATATTTAATTAATTCAAGCTTTTGTCTCAGTTGTTTTTATTGAAAATAATACTGCTGATTGCATGTGACGATATATTGACAAGTCTGTTCTTTTGAAAAGAAATGGATTAAGTACCTAAGCTCCTTGTATTGATTGCCAATAAAATATGTTTGAATAAAGTTTGAAAAGTGGCGTTCTTGTACTAAATAAAATTGAAATATATATCTCTCATGCCATGTATTTATGTATTTTAAAGTTAATTTTCTTCGCGTACCCAAATGTTATCTCCCTTTGACCGATCCATAGTTGGTTTATTGTTTGTTTGTTTACATTTAGAGAAAAAATCAGAAAGTGTTCATAGTATTAAGCAATGGGTCAGTTGGTCAAATGGAATGATGATTTACACAGTTATATATAAAACAACAATAAAGGTTGTGATATCAATGACCAACATCATGAACTTATAACAGAGCCCGTCAACACAAGCCTGTTCTGCCACACATCTATAACCAATGCATGGGAGCTAGAAGACCCTCACAAGGAGTCATTGACTATGGTGTGCGATACTATGAGCATTGCTTGGTCTGTTCCGCTAATGAAGTATTTAAACGTTAGTTCTCAGGTGCATGAGTATTAGGGCTGGGACGGGTTCAAATTTACTACCCGGGTACCCATCACCCTATTACCCCACCCTACCCGGGTTCCTGCTGTAGATATATAGAGATAGGTACAAACTTCACTCATACACTGAAGTTTAATGTATGAAGTTTTATCTTTATTCAAACATATAAAAGTAAGAAGGAATGGGTGCATTGTCAGAAAGAAATAGGAATATTAGTGACTTATAGTGTTATCATAGAGTTTTAGATATTTTTTGTCATTAAACAATATATATCACGTGACTAACCACGGGTCCGGGTAGTCCTGTTGGTACCCGGGTCCTACTCAGGACCCACCTGACTCGAGTACCCGAATTACCCGTCCCAGCCCTAATGAGTATAACAAATCCATGCATGTATACCACCGGCTGCAGTTCCATTACTCAGCGCACAACACGACGGTGTAATTATACGCACATTTATCATATCAATATATTTTATAATTTCACGCTTTTTTGATAAAGCGAGGGGCGAATGAATGATGCGTTAAAACCGTTTTCGCGGGTAGTATTTCAGTTGTATCACTTCGTGTTCAGCTTATTATGAGATGAAGGCTCAAAGGTTGCTGATCATTATCATGAAAACATGCAATCGGCGGATCATGACACGCCCAAGGGACCGAACTCTTTACAACGACGCCTGGGCCACCCGTTCCCCCGATATAAGGCGATGAGGTAAGGCTCGGGATTGATAAACTCTCACCGTCACTATCGGCCATACACCGATCGATGGCAACCGTTGTATGCTCGCCAGATGGTAATGAGTTTATTGGCGATAGAGACCCAGACCACAGTCTGACTATCAGCGACGAGTGCACTCGTGATAACTCGTGTCATTCCGGAAAAGGTCGTTGAAAGTTACGGAAAGGGACGAGTGGAGACGAATTGTTCTGTCACGACGGGGAAAAAATGGCCTTAACATTTAGCTCACCTATATAGTTGATAACATTTTGAGGGCCTTTTAGCTTTTAGCTTTGTGGTGTTATTTCCATCGTCCGTACACGACGTACATTAAGGTAACCACAGAAACTACAAGATCTACGTAGCTGAAACTTTGCATGGGTGATCCCAGTTCTGGTTGCATTGAAAACAGCTCACAGACTCCATACACGTTTTAAAAATGGCCGCCATGGGAGACATGTTGCATTGTAACATCGGTTCATTAGTTATACGATAGCAGCGGAAAATCTCAATCCAAATAACTGATTTATGGCTTCTTAAGAATAGTGAGTATGGTTTTACGCCGCTTTTAGCAATATTCCAGCAATATCACGGCGGGGGACACCAGAAATGGGCTTCACACATTGTACCCGTATTGGGAATCGAACCGGGGTCTTCGGCGTGACGAGCGAACGCTTTTACCACTAGGCCACCCGACCGCCCCTCTTAAGAATAGAGATTGTTGGATGACACGTAGCAAGGATTCCTTCTGACGCAATTATTTGAACATAAGACGTAGGCTGCCTGACAGCTGGCATATTTTAATGACGAGACATATTGCTGGATACCGTACGATCTAAGCAACAAGTGGATTGCCCAGCACGAGGTTGACCGTATGTTGTGAGTCTGAAATCCAGACGGGTTGATGAAACATTTTACATGGCTTATATATGTCACAGTCAATGTGTAATATGACTGAAGTTTTCACTTTGGCAATTTACGAAACATCAAAATAATGCAGTCAATTTTCAATAATGTTCCCGTCAGATTGACTAAACGTTATTAAGATGTTCAAAAAGGCTTATAACATCACAATCTACTCCGTCCGTCCGCTTCTAAAAAAGGGGACAAATTTTGTAAAAAAACTATGTAAGTCAGAGGAATGAAATTTTACACACTGATGTTACTGGTCATCATCTCAAATGAGTTTGAATATTGGTGTCGTAAATTCATTTTTTAAAGAGTTACGCCCCTTGCTCCATGCATACTGCTTGAAATTGGGAAAGCTTTCTCACAAACTACTGATGTTACATGAATGAAAGTTTGCAGAAATACTTGTCAAGACTGAGTTAGAAATATGCTCCCGTCAAATATATTTTTACAGCGTTACGGCCCTTGATCCATATTATTTTGTTTGGTGCATATTGTGTGCAATGGAGACACGTTTTCTCAGACACTACTGAAGGCAGCTTATGTAAGAACTTATCAAGACATTTATTTTTTCCAGAGTATTAATGTGTGTATTTATTTAACATTTAATATTTTTCTGATGACATAAAGCGGACCAAGTCTTCTTAAGGCTTTATATGACTCTTTTTAATACTTTATGTTCACTATTACATGAACAAACACAATTCTAATGTTCCTCATGGTGGGGGATTGTTATGCTTGGACTAGGAGCTAAACAAATAAACAGAATATCTTTTTTCTGTTTGTCGTATCAATTTTAGTCACTGGGTGATGAAATAGATCATACAAATGTCTGGAATTCATAATATCATAAGCGGAAAAAAAATTTGCTAAATGACTGAAATAATTTGGCATTTTGTAAATTGCCAAAGTGAAAATTTCAGACTGATTTTACATATTGACTGTTTGACTGTAACATATATACATGACGTGGCCTCTTCCACACACACACACACACACACACACACACACACACACACACACACACACGCACGCACACACACACACACACACACACACACACACACACACACACACACACACACACACACACACACACACACACACACCACAACAACCATACAACATACACATACATACCACACGCACATACGCACGCACGAATGCACGCACATGGGATGTGACGAGCGAAAGCTTTAACCACTCGTCTACCCTACCGCCCGTGTAACAACATACCCGACATATGCTTGTGTAATATGATTATGATAGATGCAATTTATTCATTTATATTTTCTTTGCCCTTACATCACATGTATTTTCTTAAAGGGCAAACTGTGGATATTCTCCGTCAGTGGGAACCGCCGACCTTACAACTATGCGTAAGTGTTGATGTTAAGACCTGTTGATTGAGTGTGTCATCACCGACGTGTATTCTAGCTGTCAGCAACTGATTTGCCTCTTTAAGGCATCCCCCCATCAACTTATGGTTGTCGTACGGGCGATGTAGTGTATCGGGCTGCCAGGCTCGGCGATTTGGTGGATTGCGTGTCGTCTTTACCCGACCATACAGGACGTTCCTTATTATATCAATCACTGGTTGCCTGGGACAGACTTGATTATTTATAGGGCACCGTCAAAAAGCTGGAACACTGCAGCCTATAATACATTGGTATAACTGTTACTTAACTTTGTTTGTTTATTTGTTTGTTTAACGTCGCACTCAGCAATACCCCAGCTATATGGCGCCGGTCTGTAAATAATCGAGTCTGGACCAGACAAGTGATTGACATCATGAGCATCGATCTACGCAAAAGAGAAATGATGACATGTATCAACCAAGTCTTCGAGCCTGACCACCCGATCCCGTTAGTCGAATCTTACGATAAGCATTGTCGCCTTTTACGGCAAGCATGGGTTGCTGTATACCTTTTTTAACCAGGATCTTCACGGGTCGCAACAATATGAACAGTATCAATAACGTTTGAATTGAATAACATATCTTATATTAGGTTCCGATGATCATTGTGGGGACAGGTGTGCGTCACATACTTAAAATAATTACTGCACAAAGACACGAAGCTGTACATAAACATAGTACTCCATAGGATGGATGGAGATTTCAATATTGATTGAAGCGCCGTAAAATAGTTGAAGCTTTCCTTGTCTCAGCTCTTGTCTTGACGATACAGAAGTTAACCTTGTCGCATTCAATCTATTAGATAAACATGATATTTGGCAGGTATGAAAATCACCAACTTATTTTACAATTTTATCACTAACTGGGTGATAAGTAAGTGTGTTTTGAGTTTAACGCCGTTTTGCACAGTATTTCTAATTATATCACGGCGTGTCAGCTTGATGTGGGAGGAAATATCTTGGACCTTTACCACTTTGATGAAATTCACGAGCACGGGTACGGTGTTGACAAAACTACAAACATAATTTGGGAGAATCAGGGAGTCGTACCCATGACCATAGGTTTCTGACACGTCTAGGGGACGTAACTCTGCACAGCGTATTGCGGCGCCTAAGTCATATCAACCTTCATTTTAATACTGGGCATTGTTTTATTGATATGGGGAATGAACTGCCGCACATAACGTATCACGGATCTACTTAATCTCATTAATTGGAGATATAATCTTCCCGAGACAGCTACCGTCGCATACGACCTAAATAGTTTTCGGAGAGAGGTTTGGAATCAGAGTTTAAGATATGATTTTAATGATATTTTCTACAGAACATACTCCCATTTTTTTTATCGTTATAACTTCAGGGACGAGACTGGGAAACTTGTGGGATTTGAGTTGGACATCATAGACAAAGGTGAGTTTTTTCAATAGGCATGAAAAACATGTCCATGTACGCCTGCCTCAGGTATCGGTACAGACATTGAACGCTTCGCTTCATGATAGGTGGTCAGGTAAATGCTAGCCTGAATCAGTATTAGATATTTGAAAATAGATATTGAAATTATGTATGGATCGATAAATAGGCATATCTTGTTTCGTAACAGTACCACTTTGTAACTTTACTATACATCGCTACACCGATGATACCCTTAAGAGTGAGTGAGTGAGTATAGTTTTACTGCGCTTTTAGCAATGTTATTCCAGCAATAATAAGGTGGGGGACACCAGAATCACACATCGTACCAATGTGGGGAATCAATCCCGGATCTTCATCGTGACGAGCGAACGCTTTAACCACTAGGCTACCCGATACCGCCACGACACCCTTAAGAAAGACATAAGGTTATAAATAACATCAACTCTCTTAAATAGTGTTATCCATAGTGCGGTACAGATCGAAAACTGTCACTCGATCTTGAACCAAATAGTCAATTTGATAAAAGTTTAATATCAATATCATGACATAGCGATCTGTGTCATGTGCATCTACTCTGAACAGAAACTGCTCTCTCCATCCAACTTAAACAATGTATGAAGCCTTTGTCACGTGTTCCCCGTCGAGATATGGCTGGGACATTGCCAAAGCGGCGTAAAACCCACTCACTCATCAAACCGTCGGTGGGACAATATGCATCACTCTTTTGAGACTATTTGCAGTCTATGTCTAGACACCGCAATTAGAGCTGTGTGTGAAACCCTGATACCGTCTCAGTTGGGTAATTATTTACAGCTACGATATACATATAAATAAAATGTTCGTTATCAGACATAGAACTACTTGAATCCACTTTGCTGGGACTGTCTATTGACCCAAGTCTAGCATCTTACCTAACAATCATATCGACACATTAAAATCATGTACGTGAAACAGATTCAATATTCTTATTTTAAAAATGAAAAGTATTTGTGCTGTAATGAAGAAGAATCAAGGTTATTTCGGCGCATCCCACATTTCTTGTTTATAGTGTGTTCCACGGCTGGCGTGAAGTGCGCGCCGACGGTACAACCCTTCTCCGAGTGCACGCAGACAGTCGACGGCCGCTTCTTCCCAGGGAGAGGTGAGGTCACGAACAGCGAAACACCACAGAATTTGTAGTCTACGGGAGGGACTGGCGGATTCCAGAGGGGGTGTAGGGATGTGGGGTAGCGGTGTGTGTGTGTGTGTGCTCGTGTGTGTGTGTGTGTGTGTGTGTGTGTGGTGGGAAGAGCATGGGTTCACTCCCTTGTTTTGTCAGCAGTTATTCATCTGACGTTCTCTCCGTGACTTGGGTTGTGTGTGCCCGGAAACGGTCTTCCACATCCCAGATCTCCTCCCGGGAGCTGGGATAAAGTTTATTTCCTTCGCTCACACTTGAGCTGCAAAATAATATATGTAACAGTAAAACATTCCTTCACTCGATCTCAAGGTGAAGCCGATGTCATATGTCTGGAATACTGCTTAATGCAAGAACAAACATAATCAAAGTGAACATTTAAGGGTTATCACTCGTATACTCAGAAAGATCTCCCTTTACATGACGGCGTTTATCGTCCCTCATCAACCACTGGTTGGTCTGACGCACTCCATTATTTGCATGCTGTTTGCATAGCTGGAATATTGCTAAATGCGGTGTAAAACAACACTAGCAAACATGGTCACCACGCAACGCTGGTTGGGCCCTGAGGTCAAAAGTGCTGCAATTTACCGTGCAGAGTTGCGTCCCTTTGTCATGCAATGATCATCTTCGGAATTACCCCCCCACTTTAAGCTGACATTACGGGTTGTAACTGGCACACTGTTCTAAACAGCGTTCAGTGGTTATGTTAGTTTTGATAACAGTTCATGCAGGTCCACCAGAAGATCCATATTATTTAAAAAAAACCTTGTTCCCCTTTGCCCGCAGGTTTAATGTCCGGCTGGTTTGACGCCTGTATGGGTTACACGATCACCCAGGAACGGGTCAACGCTGTCCAGTTCACGAGCCCCTACATCCAGACATACGCCAAGTTGACGGTCAAGCCTGGCAACCCCCGCGGGGTCAGCCTGAACACCCTGTCACAAACCACAATCAGTAAGTACAGACATGACGTCACAGTGTATACTCATACGTATTAGAAACGCAACGTCCCCTGTTTGTTTGTTTTTTGTTAAACGCCGCACTCAGCAATTTCCAACTATATGACGGCGGTCTGTAAATAATCGAGTCTGGACCTTACAGTCCAGTGATTGACATCATGAACATCGGTTCACGCAAGTGGGATACGATGACATGCATCAACCAAGTCAGCAAACCTGACCACCTGACCACCCGATCCCGATACCCGACCGCGTGGAACGTTGCTCATAATATCAATCACTTGATAGTTTGGTCCACTCTCGGTTATTTACAGGCCGCCGTCATATAGCTGAAATATTGCCTAGTACAGCGTTAAACAACAAAATGGATTAGAAATATGACCAGTAAAGGCAATATATTCCATATATTCGACGTGATTTCACTCATGGTTGACTATATTCGCATTTATTTCGTCAATGCAAGTACGATAACGTAGACAATTTATGGATAACATCATTATATTTTACTCTAATGGCGACGTTTCGGTATAGATCCTTCTACCGTTGTACTTACTGGACAACAGAATGGGGATCTTTACCGAAACGAATTACAATAAAAACTGAAGTTGTTATCCATAAATTGTGCCTGAAATGAAATGTTGTAGCATAAATATACAAGTCCTCCACAGGCAATTAGAAGTTAGAGGAACATGAACATATGACACTTTGAAACATGAAACAACATATTATCTTTTGCAACGACGTTACCTCTTGTCCCAGTAAACATGAGCGCACGTAGTACCTCAAAGAAGCGCACCAACAATCTTTTCCTTTGTACATAACATGTTTTTGACAATGTGAAATATATCGGAGTATTGTATTTGTGGCGAGGGAATTTGGCGTCCTTTAAATCTCCTGAGGCAGTAACTACAGTAGAACATGGATATAACGAACTACAAGTGACCAGAGAAATCAGTTCGTAATATCAGTTTTTCGTTATATACGTTTTCGCTCGGAAACGTCCGCCATCTTGGATAAAACAAAAGACAATACACGTATTTGCAGCATTGACTTGTTTTAGCAGTGATCACTTCATAGCATTCAATTGATAACATTTTGTCAGTGACACTTGACACTGAGTGAGATTTCTTAGTTCGCTATACGCGTACCCCCTCATTCGTTCACCGCGTCTGTCTCTTCCGGATTAACGAGGTTTTACTGGCAAGAATTGGATGAAACGGGCTGAGTAGTGATATTAGTACTGTGTGAAGATTATCATGTTGAGACGAACAAACTGATTTTTTAAACACGAGATGAGATGTTGTATGGGGCTGCTTTTAAGACATGCTTTACTTCAACGGTAATTTGTTCCGTAGAGAGTAGGTTCAAACAATTATCGATTGATCGAATTATTGATCTTCCTCTGTCGCTCACTTTCTCCTCTATTTATCTACCGTCAATCGCTCGCTCTCGTCAATTCGCGAAAAATGATGTATCCATACAACAAAGGTTACACATTTCATATGTTCCGTGATATCGAGCATGAATGATTTGAGCCTGGGTAAATCTAGAAGCTGAAACTAATGGACTAGTCATTTATTACAGGGGTCGGGTTGGGGTGGGGGTGGGGGTGTTGTGGGGGTGTTGGGCTGGTTTAAGAGTTTTTTGATGTACTGATCATAGTGATGTACAGAAAATATGATGACCGGTCCCTTATAGAGTTCATCATTATACTGGCAGCTTGCATGCCCGTCCTTATCGTCCCTATACCTGGCATGTCACGAGCATCCTAGTGCTTAAAGCCTTTAGTCGTCACTCCGAAGCCTGGGTTCGATACTTGACATCGGTACGATGTGTGAAGCCTGTGTGTCCCCCGCCGTGATCGCCCTCGATTATCCAGATAGACGCTACAGAAAATAGAATGGAAGTATAGCACGATGGCACCTCGAGGATCCACTGTCATACGACTGGACTATTGTTAAAAACGTTGTAATAAACATACGTAAAGTTAACATATACTACTCCACTTTGATAGGGATATGTTTTATCTTCATATCTGATTGTCCCTATCAAAAGTGGAGTAATATACTTCAGAACTTGTGAGATGAGTGAAAACATGTTTTGTTGTCACTATATTTTCTCTAGTATGACTCCTTAATTAAATTCAGGTTATAAGAGGTCTGGCCTTTCTTCCTTTGGAATTTAACAGAATTTGCTCAAAATAAATTAAATGTTATACAACATGAAACTAATGCTCAGTCGAAATAACATTGACTAATTTTCGTAACTCTGTGAATACTAGCCATAGTTGAGTAGCTGACGGTGTTACCCCTAGAACCGCCCCACAATAGAGCAACTCTTAATAGCGAAAATGCGGTATATAGGTATTGTAATCGGGTTTAAGAAATGAAGCATAATTATTGAGGATTAAAACACATTTAAGATTTTTACTCATAATGATTAATCTTCATAATCTTTACTTCTAAGTACGGTCAGCTGTTAGGGATTTAAGGATTAGGCAGCTATTTCAGACGTGCAGGACCCGCTTCACAATGAGATCTTAGAGCAGGGACTACCGTTGTTTGTTGTAGTCTACGTTTAAGTGTAGTGTTACGTTACACGCTTTACAGATCAGGGTCTTGTATAGTAATACTTTTTTTAAAATCCAAATGAGGGACCGGGTATTATACTTTCAGAAGGGACCCGTGAAGATCCGGGGTAGAATAGGTTTTCAGCAACCCATGCTTGCCGTACAAGGCGACTGTGCTTGTCGTAAGAGGCAACTAACGGGATCGGGTGGTCTTGGCTGATGCATGTCATCGTATCCCAATTGCATGGATCGATGCTCATGATGTCAATCACTGGATTGTCTGGTCCAGAATCGAATATTTACAGACCGCCGTCATATAGCTGGAATATTGCTGAGTGGGGCGTTAAACAACAAACAAACAAACAAACTTTCAGAAGGACGCTTTGGATTCACTTTGGAGAAATAAAGATATTGTTTCGTAATTTTTAGCTATCCCGAACTGAAGTTCAAGTGAGATAATGTAGTGGTCGTTTTCTACGGTAAACGTTTTATTTACGACCTGTCTGAAATCATAAGACGCTGTAAGCTCAACTGTCCAGTGTATTGTATGTCGACAAAAAAACCCTGGACTCCTTCGTCAGTGCGGCCTCGTTTCTGAAATGACATCATTGTCTTAATCTCTCTTAAGTCTACATTAGCACACGATTCCTCTCGCTCATGTGAGTAATTTCATTGGACGGCTATTTTTAGCGTCGTGCCATTCGAATTGGGTTCAAATCCAATCAACCGTGGCGAATTGGTCCTGGGTATGTATCATATTAGAATGGACATACAATACACTTTCGCATGTATCGCTATGACATATGATATGTCTTAGGTATGTGGGACGTCAGTACTTAGCGACGTTTCTACTGTGTATATCTTGTAGCTCACCTTAACGGCGCCTACACCAACCAGCAGTGTCTAAACCGGCTCAACTACTCCGTCGGCGGAGTGGTCGTCGCTGCGAACCTTCCTGTGGCAAAGGAACTGGTTTTAAACGGCACGGTACGTCACAGACTTATAGTCACTCATTGTATATTGATCTTACTTAACAAATTAAAGTACTATTTAAAATTAGTGCATTGGAATAGGGATTAGTATTAGCTGCCATTACTCAATCCCTCTCCTTTCATCGATGATTTTCGTTGTTCAGTATGTCACAAAGTGTGGGTTCTCAATGCATTAGAATCAGATCTGTACCTCTCTGCGTTGAAACCCTGAGGACACCTCCCTAGCAGGCCACGTCAGGTGAACCCTGAGCGAAGTTTGACCGCTGATTCTAAGAGAAGATTCCACGGGTTCTTGCTCAAATCAGCTTTCTGAAACTCCGCTTCATTTTGTAATCACGATCCACGTCGCTTAGAAGCGATAGGGTGTATGACATATCCACAACAATACAACGACACCATTAAACTTTCTACTTTCGGAACGTGTTGATTTAGTTCCTTTTCGAGATATGCTGCATGGCTTGGATGCTTCGATCACTCGAGCCTAGAGAATACAGAAACGTCGACGCTGATTGGCTGATTTGAAAGTTCACCTGACGCGTCCTCAGATCATCTCCAGCGAGGTGCCGTTTGGGTTCAATACGTCGAACGTGAACTTTGAATAAGGATTCGAGATTGAAAACAAAATACGGTACCTGTTTCGCGGGTGCAGCCATCTTGTTTTCCCAAACCCGTACCGGTTTTTGTTTTCGATCTGGCATCCGTGAATCTGGAATTAATGTGGTTCATCCTTGTCAAGGGAAAGACTCCGTGGCTATAACGTATAGTTAGCCATAAGGCGCATTGGTCTTGTTCCACAATGCGGTCTTAGCACAATAATTTAACATACTTACGATGGTCATTGAACTGAAATCGCTTTGTGTGACGAGACCCTAAAGCGAATTCATCCTTGCACTGTTATTTTCACCAGGTCGACGCTGCGTTTTCACCAAGGTCAAGAATACCTGACCTTGAGACGTTGAACATCACTCTTCATTGTGACCTTGGAGGCGTGGCTGTCATGGTAACAAAGGGAAGCACGCTCCCTGATTGGTGGAATCCAGCTTATGAAAAATTCGTTAAGTCCGGAGAATATAAGAAAATATGTGAAACATGGCGATCCAAGTCAAGTATGTGATGGTTGATGACCGTTTTAATACCCCCTATAGTGGAATCTGGTTAACTCGAATGGCGTGTACTCGATGTATGATTTACAACAGTGTAACCTTATCACATGTAAAATTGTGATTGTCTCGAACTATGGTCAGCTCGACATCTTTTTAGTTGTCTCGTCAATATTGCCGATGTGACGTTAAGTTCTAACTCACACACTTTTCAGTTGTCCATAACACTTTGAATGAAGGAGGGGCGGTGGGGTAGCCTAGTGGTTAAAGCATTCCCTCGTCACGCCGAAGACCCGGGTTCGATTCCCCACATGAGTACAATGAGTGAAGCCCATTTCTGGTGCCCCCCGCCGTGATATTGAAGGAATATTGCTAAAAAGCGTCGTAAAGCCCATATTCACCCATGCACTCAAAATAAGCAGGTTTACTTGCATTGTATAATGGTTGTGAAATATGAGTATTATATTTTTTTATAAATATGGAATGGAACACAATATAGGAACACAAGAATGTTCTCCTAGTCAGCGGTTGGTCAGCAATAACATTTGCGATCGGGTATCTTGAACGTGTTTTGTTTATGTGTTTTTTACGCCCCAGAGGTTTTGTAATCTGATAATTGATCAATTAATAGTTGTTTTTATATATTTCAATAAAATATATACAAATATTAAACTTCTCTCTGTTTCAGCATCTTCCATTAAATGCTTCGATGATGCCCACCATGCAGTGATAGCAGGGAGTGGCCAAACAACCGCAGTGGTCAGTTGGTGTTTGACCGCCACAATGCTGCTGGTCACTCTCTCTATCAGCGGTCCGGAGACCAGCTGGGTCCAGACTGTAGGACACTCGACCCACTGTGACTTGTAACCGGCGTTAAACAAGCAGCTTGTCAAGTCTTAAATAAGTCACAGACTATCTTCCCGAGGCAAGGGAGTTAACTGACTGTGAAAGTCCAGTGGAATCTTCCCGAGGCAAGGGAGTTAACTAACTATAAAAGTCCAGTGGAATCTTCCCGAGCAAAGGGAGTTAACTGACTGTACAAGTCCAGTGGAAACTAGACTTTCAAAGTCAGTTAACTCCATTGCCCCGGGAAGATGGTCACAGATTTGACAGGAATATATTTTTGCAGATGTAAACATTTGACTGTTGTATGCCTTTAGTTCCATTTTATGCAGAGCAATAAATAACAAGCAGATAACAAGAATACAGTCAAAATCTCGTTGAACCTTATTATCTGTATCAATAACAAAACTGTCCTCATTGAGAACGGTACCGCCCGAAGATAGGGGGCTGCTCTGTTTAAAGGACTGACAACAATATCTGATTATGAAGGTTCTACTACGGATATAACGAATTAATTTTGATATTTCGTTATAAATGAATTCAAAAGCAGGTCACTACTCTGTCTTATCTTGTAATTACTACCTCAGCCATTGTTTACTTCACATCCGTGAACACGATGCATTGTGTATTTTGTATATGTTTATATAAGTAAATAAACCATATAACGTTCAGTTCCTTATTGTGTGCTTTACAACACGGTGGAGGCCGCCACCCCCCCCCCCCCCCCCCCCCCCCCCCAACCTCTCTCTCTCTCCAAGGTGTCCAACTCTCCAAGTCTAGAATGATTTGGCAAGTCTAGATAGCCTCAGCAAACTAACTGACTAAATGTCAGTTTATGTATACCACTCAAAAGAACACCCGATTCTTTCATATCACTATTATAGACAAGGGATTCAGAACACAACTTTCACTGGACTTACTATGATAGACAAGGGATTCAGAACACAACCTTCACTAGACTCACTATGATAGACAAGGGATTCAGAAAACAACCGTCACTGGACTCACTATGATAGACAAGGGGTTCAGAACACAACCTTCACTGGACTCACTATGATAGACAAGGGATTCAGAACTCAACCTTCACTGGACTCACTATAATAAACAAGGGATTCAGCACACAACCTCACTGGACTCACTATGATAGACAAGGGATTCAGAACACAACCTCACTGGACTCACTATGATAGACAAGGGATTCAGAACTCAACCTTCACTGGACTCACTGTGATAGACAAGGGATTCAGAACACAACCTTCACTGGACTCACTATGATAGACAAGGGATTCAGAACTCAACCTTCACTGGACTCACTATAATAAACAAGGGATTCAGAACTCAACCTTCACTGGACTCACTATAATAAACAAGGGATTCAGAACACAACCTCACTGGACTCACTATGATAGACAAGGGATTCAGAACACAACCTCACTGGACTCACTATGATAGACAAGGGATTCAGAACTCAACCTTCACTGGACTCACTGTGATAGACAAGGGGTTCAGAACACAACCTTCACTGGACCCACTGTGATAGACAAGGGATTCAGAACACAACCTCACTGGACTCACTATGATAGACAAGGGATTCAGAACTCAACCTTCACTGGACTCACTATGATAGACAAGGGATTCAGAACTCAACCTTCACTGGACTCACTGTGATAGACAAGGGATTCAGAACACAACCTTCACTGGACTCACTTTTATACACAAGGGGTTCAGAACACAAACTTCACTGGACTCACTTTTATAGACAAGAGATTGAGAACTCAACCTTCACTGGACTCACTATTATAGACAAGAGATTCAGAACCCAACCAGCACGGGAACACCATGATAGACAAGAGATTCAGAACCCAACTAGCACGGGAACACTATTATAGACAAGAGATTCAGAACCCAACCAGCATGGGAACACTATTATAGACAAGGGATTCAGAACTCAACCAGCACGGGAACACTATGATAAACAAGATATTCAGAACCCAACCAGCACGGGAACACTATGATAGAAGAGATTCAGAACCCAACCAGCACGGGAACACTATTATAGACAAGATATTCAGAACCCAACCAGCACGGGAACACTATGATAGACAAGATATTCAGAACCCAGCCAGCACGGGAACACTATGATAGACAAGATATTCAGAACCCAACCAGCACGGGAACACTATGATAGACAAGATATTCAGAACCCAGCCAGCACGGGAACACTATGATAGACAAGGGATTCAGAACCCAACCAGCACGGGAACACTATGATAGACAAAAGATTCAGAACCCAACCAGCATGGGAACACTATGATAGACAAGTGATTCAGAACCCAACCAGCAAGGGAACACTATTATAGACAAGGGATTCAGAACTCAACCAGCACGGGAACACTTTGATAGACAAGATATTCAGAACCCAACCAGCACGGGAACACTATGATAGACAAGAGATTCAGAACACAACCAGCACGGGAACACTATGATAGACAAGATATTCAGAACCCAGCCAGCACGTGAACAGTATGATAGACAAGGGATTCAGAACCCAACCAGCACGGGAACACTATGATAGACAAGGGATTCAGAACCCAACCAGCATGAGAACACTATGATAGACAAGGGATTCAGAACCCAACCAGCACGGGAACACTATGATAGACAAGAGATTCAGAACCCAACCAGCATGGGAACACTATTATAGACAAGAGATTCAGAACCCAACCAGCACGGGAACACTATGATAGACAAGGGATTCAGAACCCAACCAGCATGAGAACCCTATTATAGACAAGGGATTCAGAACCCAACAAGCATCGGAACACTATTATAGACAAGGGATTCAGAACTCAACCAGCACGGGAACACTATGATAGACAGGGGATTCACAAACATGAGGCAGTAGGCCTTACATTTTATGTTTTAAACGAACTGTCGTTGTACATGAACTACTGACGGACGTGATTCACGGGGATGCTGCATGTTTTGTAGAGATACGAAAAGGATGTGTTTCATAAAGTAAAGAAAGAATACGAAAACGTAGATAAATTTTGGGGACTTTAAAATTATGTTTGGAAGTGAGACGGGCGAAAGTGGTATCTCGCATTTCTGACATAAATATTGTAGCTTCAAGACTCGCACAAGAAGGGAGAGCGCGGCCAAACAGTCGTGTAAAATGTCAGTCAGTGGCTGGAAGCGTTCATAAAATGCCCACGCTGTTCGTTTCGCTGCATACAGGTTAAGATTCTGTCCCTATATACACCCCCCCTGCAAAACAGTGTGAAAATTACCACGGAATACTCAGGACACATAGTCTACCAACACAGATTATCATCAGTAACGTAATCCACGTCAATAGCAAGATCAACAACAAAGACAACACAAATAACAATTACAATGAAACTGAACAATAAGAGTTATATATACAAAAACAGTTATGGAGACATGGCTATTTTGGTGCCATTTGTTTGTAGTGAAGACTGAGCACACATTTACATTAAGATATCCTCAAGACCATTAATGATCCCTTACTTTTTGATCAGTATAGAAATATTATACCTAATTTACAGAGCATGCATGTCTCTTATAGTCTCAGAAACATGGCTTCCAATGCCTATACCATCGTACAGGCGCAATAAACAGGGGCAGTATATATTCTCTCACTGCGGAGCAAGGCCGCGAGAGTTAATAAATCTGAGAGACATTAAATGTTGAAGATTCTCATTTATGTCTAAAACAAAATAAACAGCAATTAATGACGCTATTTGCCATTTGCAACACTCTGCACGTTCTGGGCTTGTACAACACGGGACGGAACTCTCGGTGTGTCGTGCAGCCCGCATATCATGAGATACAAGGGCTGGTCAACAAGTTCTAAGCCTAACAAACAAAACCAACAATTGTGAAGGTGTTTCGTTTTTTTCAACATTTTCTACTAGCTTTTCAATACACTTCTCATATTGATAGTGAAGCTTTTCAATTCCAGTCAGGAAGAAGTTTTCTGAGGCCATCCTGAAAAACCCATTCACGGCAGCTTTGAGGTCACCATTGTCGTTATAGCCCTTTCCACGTAGGTGTCCTTTCAGTTTAGGAAAAAGGTGGAAATCACTTGGTGCCAGGTCTGGCGAGTATGTAAAAAACTTGCTGACTGTTCGGTACTCCTTCTTTTCCATTTCCATGTCCGTTTGGACCCCTATGAGCTTCAACTTGCTGTCACTTATACACAAACGGCCTCAACAGACCAAATACACTTGCAGTGAACTACTCAAACAATGTACTACATTCACTAGTTCAATTTGTAATGGCCCATAGTTGAAAGTTAGTCGGATTAGAACCTTTTGACCAGCCCTCGTAGCTGCACGACTGCTGGAAAAAGTGCGCTTTTCGAGAAATATCCATTTTGCTATCTACATGTATGTATAAACATCGTCTTTGTGTTTCTGATCATTTGGTTACAATCCGGGTAAGAATCGACAGTCAGTGACTGCGAGCGGTTATTAATCATCGCGATATTTCGTGATTCTGTTTCAAGTGGCCAGGGCTATAGATTCTTACCAGGGACTCATGTATCGCTTGAAAGTGATAAATAATGTAAACTTATAGGAAAACTAGTTGTAAATTATACTATTTCTGCCTTATGTACAAGTTGTCTCGAGCTCCTTGACGTTAATCAACTCGAATATACTAAATGCGTTTTTGTTTTGTTGTGGTCTAATCGAGTCAAAACAAACCGATGGTTGATAGCATGACAAACTACCTACGAATGTGTGATGAATGACCCACAATCAGACAAGTCAGATATTATCACCCCCTGATCTACATTTAAGCTGGCTCTTAGGACAAACTTGAGTAACTGGGCTCTGACCCAGAATACCGACGAACAGACTGTATATATTTGGATGACTGGCCTCAGTACAAGTTAGATTGAAACCATGTGCTATTCAGTGTAATCAACTCTGTATAGACTCCAACTGACCTGGCTTAACTTAACAAATCAAACTTAGCGCTACGACCATCGTAAAGCCAGGTAGTAAGTCCATGCATGTGAGTTACGGTCATCGTAGCACTAAAATCACTTTGTGCAAGTGGACCCAGGAGAATATTCCATTTGTGGGGCACGGCGTTCCAGCTCAATATAGTGACATACAGTGAAATATAAAATCATAGTCTAACTCGTTCCGCAGTTGCGTTGCAATTTGACAGAAATCTATGATCCTGTGTATATTTCTTGTTTTGTCATCACCATTCGTAGGTTTCACCGAAGTGGTAGTATCTAAGACCTGCATCACATCGGGCTCCGGCGCTAACCTGACGGGCCGTGCTAGAACCATACTGTTCAGAGCGGCATTAAACCCAACTCAACCTTAGCCACACTGTACTCGCCTGGAAGTATTCATTATTTACACAAATATTCGTCTAGACTGACATTTAGTCCCAGAAATAAAGTTATCTTATCATAAAATGTATATATCTACAAAATCAAAATCTGGTCCAAAAGGAGCCTAGAACAATCCTTAATTTCAGGCTAGAGCTGAGGCAGTCTAGACTTGCCAAATCATTCTAGACTTTAGTTGGACTCCTTTTTTAATTTATTCTCTAGGGTCTGGGAGACGGATAGTATTTGTCGTGAAGTACTCGTCTTGTACGTTGCACCAGGTGTCGTCACGCAGGT